CCAGTCTTTTCTGAAACACAACCAGCATGACACATTCCAGTCTTTCCTGAAACACAACCAGCATGACACATTCCAGTCTTTCCTGAAACACAACCAGCATGACACATTCCAGTCTTTCTTGAAACACAACCAGCATGGCACATTCCAGTCTTTTCTGAAACACAACAACCATGACACATTCCAGTCTTTTCTGAAACACAACAACCATGACACATTCCAGTCTTTCCTGAAACACAACAACCATGACACAGATGGATGTTAAAACTTGATGATGCCCTGTTTCAAGAAATGTCCAAAGGTTGTGTTGTAGGAACATGTAATGATAGTGCTATTGCCTACATGTATCCCTGACGTTTGTGGGGTATGGAAGTATTTTTTTTCTCATGATACGGTGTATCCATGCTGTATTTTCACTAGATTGGCAAAGTCGGAACTTTTTTTTTGTTTTACAATAAAAAATATAATTAATTGTCAATTTAGCCTTTTAACGTGATCGCGAAAACTAGCGTGACTGCGAAAGAAGTCCCGACTGGACGCATCTGCAGACGACCTCCTGCGTTGAAGTGAAAACCGGAGAGGAATCACTCCGGTGGTTATGCTAATTAAAAGCTGTTGCCTAGCATTGACAACGCATCAAAGTGCAGCTGTATACATCGTCATCTATGTTAATGTACGTGACCTTTCACTTCTGAGGTCCCAGCGATTTTGAAAGACTACTTATATACATTGGACATTTAAATCGACTTGTTTTCAGTAAACATGGATGAAATTATCGCAGTTGCACTTTATAAAGTTAAAGTATCCATCTCTGCGATCAAATCGAATCAACCTTTAAAAGGTCACGTTTACTTTCACACACCCACTCATGAATAATCAATGACATCATGAATAATTAATAACAGTCAAATGCCTGCAGATGCATCCAGTCTGGATTTCTTTAGCGGTCAGTTAGTTTTCGCGATCACGCTAAAAGAACTGAAAAACAATTAATTATTTCTTTTTGTAAAACAAAAAAGAAGTCCCGACTTTGCCAGTCTATATTTTCACTGACTTCTCTCATGAACATAACTTCCATACCTCACAAACTTTAGGGGTGAGGCCATAGCATTCAGTCATAATACCGGTATTACATTCATTTTTTTTATAATTTTTTTTATATTTGCTAATCCATGTAATACTAATCCAAAATGATCTTTGTAGTACTGAGTGAGGAAACATTGGACCAGGGTTAATTGTTTTTTCCTAATTGCATGCTATAATTGGTAATGTACAACATATTACATAAGGCATGCCATGTGGTTGCAGGGTTCGACACTCGCGCTGGTTCTCTATCCCGAGTCTAGTAAATTTTATTCAGGAACAGCAAAAGTGCATGGATGGAAGTCCGAAGGACTAGTGAGTTTTTTCATTGTTTCATTTGTAAAATTTACGTGAACTCGATGCAATCCAGTGTTAAATTATTCTTTAAATGCTCAGTTTATTTGAAAAAAAAAATATGCTGTTTTCTCATCAAAATCAAAGCCAAACGATCGCAAACATCGGCAACAAACATTAACATACATTATTTAAATGAACTATGGTAATTTGATCAGGTTGGCATCATCCAGCATTTCGATTGGTTAATTAACGACTTGACCTATCTGGTCAAAGAACATGTTTCAGGTTGCGTTTACATGCGACCAGAATCATTCGCTTACG